GCGGCACTATTCACAATAACACAAGACTTGGAATCAACCCAAATGTCCGTCAGGTGACAGACTGGATTAAGAAAATGTGGCACATATACACCATGGAATACTATGCAGCCATAAAAAAAGTATGAGTTTGCGTCCTTTGTAGGACATGGATGCAGCTGGAAACCATCATTCTTAGCAAAGTATCATAAGAACAGAAAACCAAACACTGCATGCTCACTCATAGGTGGGAACTGAACAATGAGATCACTTGGACTCGGGAAGGGGAACATCACACACCGGGGCCTATCATGGGAGGGGAGGAGGGAAGGATTGCATTGGAAGTTATACCTGATGTAAATGACGAGTGATGTGGTGCTGACGAGTGATGGTGCAGCACAGCAACATGGCACAAGTATACATATGTAACAAACCTGCACGTTATGCACATGTACCCTAGAACTTAAAGTATAATAATAATAATAAATTAAAAAAAAAGAACTGGTCAGTAATCAAAGGCAACTATCCTTTCTTTTTGGACACTAAAGGAGTTCCTAGTGCTGTATACAATTCTTTCTATTTCCAGCTTCAAAAGAAATATAGTTACCACTATATGCATTCATGCATACATAGTGAAATATTGTGTACTGAAATATGTTCTGTAGAACTTTGGCTAATTCTTGCCTTCTGCTTTTTTTACACAACTAAAAACTAAAATATTCAGTGTTCTTATCTTGTAGTCCAAAGGTGCTTTGAGAGTATTCATTTGAACAATCAGATCTTGCTGTTGTCAGTTTACTTATAACAGCTTACACTCTTCAAGGAGTAGTATTAAAATCACCTTTTCTAGGGTAAGTACAAAGCTTCTTTGTTATTGTTATTTTGTTTCTCTCTCCTTTGGCATTTTGTTTTGATTCTCATTTCCTTGGATTAGGTGGTTTACATTCTCTAAAAATTATAAAGCTGCATGGCTTAGATTTTTCATGCATAAGGACAGAAGGGTGTGTGTGTGTGTGTGTGTGTGTGTGTGTGTGTGTGTTTCTGTGTGTCTCTGTATGTATGTATATACATATCCCACCTCCTACAGAAACACATGTCTAGGTGAACTCACTTTAAATAAATGGATGCCTGGAAAGTGCAATGTCAATCAGATTCTCTGAGAAGAAGCTCACAATCAAAAAGCATTATGCTGAAAGTTCTACTATAAAGAAAGGCCTCTTTCTTACAAGAAAACAAAATTATCTGATGATATTACCTTTTGCTTATATCTAGATTTTCTTATTTTTGGCTTAAAAATCACACATATAGAATTCATATAAATAATACTCATTGAAATCTTTGGGCAAGGAATAACAACTTACCAAAATAAAATGCTTCAAGGATTTCATTTAGCCTGACTATCATCATAGTATAAAACTAATATTTGCCACAGTTTGATTATGCAATTCTTACAATGACATCCCTATTCATTAGCACTGAGCACTATGAAGGTCACGTGAACTGATCTCCGCTCTGGAGAAGTAAAAATCTTGTTGAGGAACACATTTCCGTAAGAAATAATTAGAGAAGACAGAAATAAATAACATGCTAATTGAATGAATATAGAGAATATAAAAATCACTAGAGAGAATCAATCAGAGAAGATGGGACATCAGAAGATGCTGAGGATGGAACATTTGGATAGGCAGAGACTCAAGAAGCTATCCCCAGACATTAAAATTTAGGAGAAAATAAGTGTTGATGGGTAAGGGTTGAGGAGATGAACACACTTCTAAATTGTGTAGAGTCTGTAATAAACAAAAGTAGAAAATCAACATATTCATAAGAGTGAGATCAAACAATGAGCAATACTAAAAATATTTGAAGAGACAGTCAATAAGAAGCAAAATATGAAAAATAATGATGTATACATTGAAGAAATGTTGAAATGGGAGAAAGATCAGATATCGGGTAATGACATTAATTTAGAAGTAAAGGCAATCTAGACTAAGTAAGTATAGAGGAGAAATTAGGAGACCAATCAGCTGTCATTGGCACTGAAAAACAGAATTCCAGGCTGTGTCATATGTAAGCATTCTCACATCCTTCTGTGACATTCACAAGTGGAACATCTGTGTGAAGCCTCTCACCCACGTGTCCACCTTGAAGACTAGAATGCAATTTGCAAGAAACCCAAGTGTAGCCTATTTTGTTCACTGCTACATAGCCAGTGCCTAAAATAACATCTACCGTACAGTATGAAGGCAATAAATATTTCTTGAATACTTACCATTTCAAAATATAGTTGAAAGTCTACTTTTCTTTTGAAACTTTTCTCAATTATTTCAGGTAACAAAGCAAAAAGTTTAGTGGGGAAAACATAGATTTTGGAATCACGTAGACCTGTGTTCAGCTATTGACTACCTCTTAGAAGTGTTTCAACAACACTTTTCTGATTTTCAGTTTTTTAAATTTGTAAAACAGAATGTTATCTATCTTGCAGTGTTTTTATGAGGTCAGAGACACATAATGGTTACCGAATCTATGACAACTATTAACTAAGAGTCAGATATCATGCAATCATGCTTTCTTTACATCTATCCAATGTTGCATATGTATGAATTAAAAGATTATCACTTTATACTAGATAGTAACATGTCTGTTTTTTTCTCCCTCCATACACAAACCTATTGCTTCACCACCCACTTCTTTAAGGTGCCTAGAAAATTTGTCTCAAAATTCATTAAAACTCCAATCTCAGTAAAATTCCTTGTTTGATTAGACTTCAGTACTTTCTCTTTGTTTCAGTGTCATTACTTTTACTCTTATGTATTAAAAGTATTAATGTTCAAGTTTGTCTTCATTCCTGAAATACGAGCTCTGCAAAGACAGGGATGCTAGTTTCTATTCACACATTCTTGATGCCTAGGAAAGTATACTGGGCACACAGACACATTCTATCAAAGATGAGATAAAAACAAAAAGGATGAAATTATGTGACAAAACGTTCACTAAGCAAATGGATATTACAAAGAAAAAAATGCCTATTAGAAGATATTATCTTCCAGAGAAATTATTCTTAGAAAGAAAGTAATAATTCTTGGAATTACTGAGAAAATGAAAATAGGGAAGATTTTAGAAACTCTGTCCTGTCAGGGATTTTGATAAAGGAATCCAACATAACTAACCTCAGAGTTTAGGGAAGCATGCCTTACTTACATTTTTTATATACCTGTTTTGATATTGAAAGTAGCAGCTATTGCATTTCTACTTGAGAGTCTGATCTATGCATTTTTTATCAGTTCCTGATTTCAGGAACCAGTGATCACAGGACTTTATTTCGTTAGTCAACAGCACTTACTAAACTTTTACAATGTGCAGAGCAAAGAGGCTGTTGAAAGCGATCACTAGATATGAAGACACCAGTCTCCTCTGACATCAGCAACCTACTTAAGATAGACAGGAATAATGAAAAAATAATGTACCCAGAGTCAATTTCACATCATATTCTCAGATAAGGTTGATGTATTAGTGTTATTATTATGATATCAAGGTATAAAGCCTGCAATGTTGAAATTCTGCCAACCCTTCAGTTTTCATCAGGTGTCTTGTGGAATAAACAAGATTGCACTTTGTGTTCATTTCAACTAGTTGCTGTGGGCTTAGCCACAATGACTAACAATATGAGTAACACAGAGTAACACAATGAGCAACAAAAGTAAGATTTTCTTTACTCTTTGAATCTAAATTTATTAAACTACTTGAAATAGAATGGCGATATCAAATAAAGTATTACAGGGCATTTATAGAGTTCAAAAATCTATTCATGTGCTTGAAGAAACACATTGATTTTTTCCTGGAAAGCATGATGCTTTTATGCATATTATATCAAATCCAGATATTATTTTTCAACAAAGAAAATAGAGCATTTTATCAAGTTAAAATTATATGAAATCTGTATTTTTAAATGATAGCTTCTGGTAGACAGAAAATTACATAGGCAGTATATAAGTAGAAGAGCATTTGATTATTTATTGATTTATGTCCACCAAAACTGAGAGCACATTGTTTTATTTTAAAATAAATAATATTAGCAAAACGTGATTCTTTTAATACTCTACTACCAACATCCAAACTTACTTTCTTAGTCTTTAAGAGTGGCTTACAAATACCGGGGGGAGGGGGAAGTATTTTTCAGTATTATATTCACCTTCCAATATTATATAATTTACTTTTGATATACTGTTTATTAGTGTTGTTTTCTGAGACCCCAACATTAAAAGTATTTTTGCAAATGTAAAATTAGTTTCAGCTTGTAGCCTTTAAAAAAATTATATAAATTAGTTAGATACAATTGCCTAACAATATCAAAACAATAACATATATATGTAAAGTCAAAATGATAGCCTCATAGAGGAGATTTAACTCAAATGGCTACCCGTGGACCTCAAACAAAATGATCAATGCTCTTCCTGAAAAACAATGTTGTAATGGTCAAATGAAATTACAGGGATCTCATAAAGATATGTAAACCAAAGATACAATAGCTGCAGTATGCCTGGAAGTGGCTAAGCTCCCAAGCAAATCATCCCTATTAGTTCCTATTCATGATTCAAATTATGCTATTTTATCTCTTCATAACATGCAGCATTTTTTTTACCCTCACATTTTAGGCATTTTAGCTTCTGCTGACATAAATGCATTCCCAAAATAGAATGTTACAGCAATCTTCTGCTAGACATTTAAGCCCATTTGTGCATTTATTTTTTAAAATGTTTTTTTTGAACTTTCTAACTGTGAGAGAGCTGGGAAGGTAGTGTTAGAATGAATGAGAACTTGTTTTCTAAAGCAACACTAGACACTTGATCTACTGTTAAAAAAAAAAAAAAAAAATCACAGTCTCCTACCTTGAAAACAAACATCTCACGGCGAAGAATAGCTAGAGTGTTAAAGTTCCCATCACAGATGTTGGGTTTGGCTCCAGGATAGGAGGGTCTGCCGGTGGGAGGCCTAGGAGGTTTTGGCCTGTCATTCTTCCTTGGGTCAGCCGGAGGAATAGAGCGGTGAGGGGGCACTGTTGGTAGAGGTCTTGTAGGTGGAGGAATCTTGTCAGGTGGACCTTTTGAAAATATGAGGACAGTGCTTGGCTCACTTAAAACTGGAATAGAGCTGGAAAATATGCTACAGAGAACAATCACTTATCAGCAGAGGGCACAGACTAAGTGAACTAAGAGGTCTTTAAGATCGTATATTTTCTGGAAAAAAGAACAAAAGACAAAATATCTTACCCCCAAAAAGCATTGCCAAGTCTATCTGAAACTGTCCTTATCATGCTAGATTCTGGATCCAGGTAGCTAGGTTTCCTTTGTTAATTTTTAATAATATTTTTCATAGCTTCACCACAGTTATTTTTGGGAAAGCTGCCTTCAGAACTTTTTTGGAAGCAGGTGGTATATAAATAATAAATAAATGAAAAGGAATACTGGAGCCATGTAAGTAAGCTCCAACAAAGTTAATCCTAGATTTCAATAGATAATGATTCTATGAAAATATTTCCAAAAGATAAACATTAACTGAGCAAAGTTTATTCTATCCAATGTGTCAAAACTATTTTATACTCTTTTATTGATTTTCACTGTTTTCTTCTAATGAAATATTTTGACAAATTGCTGGAAGAGTGTTTCCTTTAAGTAGTGAATCTAAAATACCTATTGATTAAAACACCACCAGTAAAATATTAATGTGAAGAAGTATTTCTCAAAAGGGCTTCTAAATCAAGACAAAGTTTACACATGTAATTTGGTACAGATGTTAAGCATCATTCTCAAGAGATTCATGTTTTTTAAAAAAGATGTAAAGCTGTTTGCACTTAATATTTAGGTATGGGAAGAATATTCTTTTGCAGACCTTCAGTTTAGACTACTAATTCATGAGGTCATGAGAAAGAGACTTCTTTCAGTGAACCACTTAAGAAGAATTTCTGATGACACACACTTAGACATAGGATAGCTCAATTCAACAAAAGAGATATTTAGCACTGAGTCAGACATTTCTCTCTTCTTGGTATCCCAGCAAACTAAAGAGCAGCACAAAAATTGACCTTTTTTTTTACAAAACTATTTTAACCCTGAGAGAATACTTACCACTGAGTTATTAAAATTAAAAGAAAATAAATGAATGCAAAACGAATTAGTGAACTTAAACTATGCTGCTTAAAAATGCAAAAGACATCTTCTGGATACTGGATATTAACATACAGATAGCACACGTTTGTCTTTGTATTGTAAAAATAAAAGCTTCACTTCATTAATTTAGTAAAGCATATTTGCTATATGTTAATTATAAATGTCAAGTTCTTTGCTACTATGTGTGAAATAAATGTCTTTATAAAGGTCAATGGTTGTATGAGGAAGTTAGGATTATAGTAAATATGCATAATAGTCTTTTCTCTTAATTTGCATTCATTGAGTGAATAAAAATGACACTACTATACTAAAAATTTGTTTTGTATTCTGTATTGATAAACTTCACCACTTGTTAATTTCACTCCTTTGTTTGTTAACTCTTACTCTAGGTCAATAAATCATTACGTGACTTTGGGGTCAATTTCTTGTATCTATCATATAAGGGTATTTTGTGGACCTTCAAAAGTGTTTTGTCTAGGAAATACCTAACATCAACTCTCACAAACTGTGAGTCAATCTATCAGTTTGTAGAAAAGTCTCAGCATTTTATATACGAAAGTCTTATATTTTTCCGTTTTTTTTTGTTACATTCACTTATTACATATTTTTTCCTGAATTTTAAAAATTAAAGTTTATTAGAACTTTGCTGTAACTGCAGGTTTTCCAACCAAACTCAGTTAGAATATTTCATCAGTGCTTAACATGTTCCCATAATCTATACATTAAGATATCTGGGACCTTTGCCAACAGAATTCAATTGATAGAATAGTTTTGCCAGTAGGCCAGCTACATACTTTTTCTGTAGTTATCTGTTTATTCTTAGAGCATCTATCTCAAAGAAGAAAACACAGCAGAATTTCTGGACTTCACTATAGGATTAAGCAAATGGAAAAAGTAGTAACCTACCATATATCTTCTGGATGCCCTGCAAATCATCATTAGGTAGTTTGAAGTTGTCTGTTTCCATGTACTGGTAAAATGGAGCCATGATGGCAGTGGGGTCATTGGAATGCTCCAATCCCAGAGCATGTCCCAGTTCATGAACTGCCACAAGAAATAAGTCATTTCCTGTGTGAACAAGAAGAAAATAAGTTATTGTAACTAATATCCAAATACAGAATTGAAAAGGACAATTTGGTATTATCAACCTTTTACCCAAGAAAAATAGGAGGAACTCTTTCCTTCAACTATTAGTATGGTTTCATCATTGGTTTTCCTACTGGCAAAAATCCAATATCCTTCGTTCAAAAAAGGGTCAAGGGAGGAGGTGGTCGTGATAAAGTCACAGATATTTAGAATCCAAAAGGGAAGAAAAAAGAATAAAAGTTGAAGAAGAGCAGCATTGGAAACTGATACTACTGCTGTCAAAATACTCTTCTAATTATGAAACACATAATGTGAAACATCTTACTTTAATATGCCTCACATATAATATAATTCTAACAACTTAGTAAAAAATATAGGGCAGATACCTTCCTTACTTTTACACCAATGAGTAAATTAAGGCATGAAGGTGACAAGTCTTGTCAGGAACAGCAAAGAGCTAAGATTGGGACTTAAGATATTCTGACTCCTAGACTAAAGCTTTAATTTTTTGCTAGCATAGAATATAGAAACATAATAATGTAAAATAAAATCTATAGGCTATTAGTCATACTAACTAGAATGCTAGTCCTAGCTCTATAAATACCAATTCCAATCTTTTCATACGTAATCTGAACCAAATACATTTATTTTAAGAGCTGCTGTTCATCACTGAAAATTTCCACCTGTGGTAAACTTGTACAGTAAAGTCTACGGAGTAAAAACTCTGCAGAGATATTTGGTGTGATTTTACGCATTCAACCCCCTGTTGATGACTTCTACATTTTGCTCACTCTGGATCATCATAACCATACGCATTACGGGAGAAAAAGGTGGTCCTACATCTATATATTTAATGCTAAACATTTAGTTGGGCAACATGATGTATCAAATAGTTGGGGGTGTTACATTTCTAAGGGTTATGCTTCTAAGTGAAAAGTTTAATGTGATTGAACATGAAGGCTAATATTTCACATGAATACTTGCCATGAATGCAAATATTTAATAATTTCAACCAGCATTATTTCCATGAAAACTTCTTTCCAACCATTTTTATAATGTACTATGATAATTGCCTTCAGAAGACTATTTTTTGAACCCAAAAGCCAGGCGAATAACCAACATTTTTTCCACTGTGGAGTAGTCTGTCACAGAGATCATAAGACTGACTCTTCATATGACATTAGCATACCAAAAATGAGCCATTGACAGTACTTCCTGTGGTCTACCTGAGTAAAAATACTAATAGAGCATGGTTATTGGGAGTTGTCTAGGGAACATCATAGTCACAGGAGGAAGAAAAAAAGGAAAACAGAAGGAAGGAGGAAGTTATTCATGAAGAGTTGCATAACTATGACGGTGTTTGGAAGTATGTAATTTAGGGAGAAGACTACTAAGGATTGTGTCTTGGGGGCACTCACAGGTGAGAGGATGATTGGAAATAAAAGAAGTTATACTCATTTTTAGATATGGAACATCTAACCCCAATGCTACAATGAACATCTTTGTAATTTCGAATCAGAGACACCTTAGTTAAAATATGAATCTGATAACCACGTGGCCTATTGCTACCCTAAATAACATGTTAAGTGGAAGAAGGATAGCTTTGGAGCATGGCCACACCCAGAAAACATGGGTCAATTTTGGCTGGAGCATGCTATCAATGGGCTAAGTGAAAGGATATTTTCACCAACAGCAGACTGAATGGCAAAACAAAGATCTATCAAGCAGACAAAGGAACAAAAGAAGCCCAGGCAGTCAAACGAACAGCAGAAAACTCACGAACTGGCATTCCAGTTCACCATGAACAGCTAGTCACACCTGAACTCAGTCAGAAGACAGTGCTGACTCAGAAAATAGCTTCAGATACTCTTGACCTTCTTTTAGCAAAACTGATGCAACTTCTTGGTCAGAAAGTCCCGACGTGGACTTACAGGGATTATATCTTGTTTTAATCTTCACAGGGGAAAAAAAAAAAAAATCCAACCTCCATCCTCTCCTCCTTGCATATCAGGTCCCCTTCACTAGAAAAAACAGACCCTGCTCTGTTCCTAAACACATAGGAAGTCAGTCTTACTCTTAAGAAGATAAATATTGCTTTCAGTCAAAACTAAAATTTTGGCTAGGAACCCAGTTGATTATTAAAGGTACTTCAAACCTCTCACAAGAAAAGAGTCTCTTGGTCTCAGATTTTTTTTTTTTCCTTTTTTGGCTAGAAAGAGGAATACAAAAAGACAAAAACGACACAGACATAATAGCAAACAGGTCATAACAGCCAAAGTCATTCTGTTTCATGTATCTGTTCTCTTCAGATCATTCATATTTTTCCTTAACATCATTTCCAAGGGTGGAGTCATTCCTTGTCTCAGGAATAAAGTAAGGTTTAGAAGAAAATTAATAGAACCAGGATATGAACTTATGACCTGTGGAGTACTCTACACTACTTTTAATCAGAAACATTGGCCAAGGGCTCCAAGTAATTACCATTCTTCAGATGATTGGCAATAATGTAATTAAACCTTGCTTGCAGCTTCACAATAGTTTAAAAGGGTAAGTTGTTCAATAAAGTACTGCCCTGTAATTTGAATTCCACTAGGAACAAAAGTTGTTGGCACATGATGAGCTTCAGACAATTAAAATGCACCGGACCTCTTTCCAAATGATGAAAATAATAACTGCTGCTGTAACTTATCATTAATTCACATTATTTGAAATCCTTAATTGTAATATGCCTTGATTTTATCACCAAGCAGGCAACAAAGGAGAAATCAGTCTCTTGGTTCTTAATACAGAAATAGTACTTGCTTCTTTTGCAAGATTTTGAGTTTTGAGTTTGTTGCTTTCAATTGTATCTATAATCTCCTTTCCTTTGTATACTCCAATACAGTGTTAGAATACTAAACTGTATATTATGAAGGATAATTAATTATTTGTCATTTCTTTGTCATAATTATGTCTATATATTATTCCAAGGTCCTTCACTCTTCCATGCATTTTCAGATACTGTCTTCCCTGCTGGCATATCCTGAATGTTAAAAAAAGATCATGTAATATTTTATACATACAAATTGTTATGGAACATTTATAATCCTACTAAAATATTTGTATATCACCAGCATCACTTAATCTCTCTCTCTGATGATTTTGTGATCCCAAAACTTTGGCTCCTCCATTCCTTCCAGAGGTCATATCACTACCCCGAGTTCTGAATTTGTCATTGCACTGCTTACAGTTTTGTTAAATGTATTTTGGTGTATTTTGCCTTGCTTACACTTTTATCAAATATGTGTTTCAATGAATTACAGTTTCCCCTAGTGTTGGAGCTTTGCAAAGTTTATCTTTGCATGCTGTCTTCTAAAACTTGTTGAAACTCAGCATTTTTTTCCCTAATATATATCTTCTAGCTTGACTCTGTCAATTGTGCAAGATCTTGTTAATATTTTAAAACAAAAATCAAAGTCATCTCCTCTGTGAAGCCTTCTCCAAATTCCCAGGTCAATTCAGTCCCTCTACATCTGTGTATACCTAATCTTTCATATATAACTTGATTGTAGCACATACCATAATTGCCCTGAAAAATTCTGATGCTCTTAATATTCACCTGTGGGTTAAAAGACTGACGGAATAAATTTGAACATATTTCTAATTTTAAATATATATAAATACTTAAAATGTTACAGTCCATATCTAGAAATAAAAATCAGAAATCATCACCAAACCTGTGATTAGTAGAGATTTCTCCAATGCTTAGTGGATGGATAGGATGGAATGGGTCTTCTCAACTTGCAGTCCTATCAGAATATGCATACAGTTGGTTTCCCTAGTTGAGAAGCTAAAGAAATATATGGGAGCCAGCCTCTGAGATGACAACAGTGATCCTCACCTCCTGATCTCACACTCACATTGTCCATCAGCATTGTCCAACAGCAAAATAAGGCAGAAGTGATGGTATTTGACTTCCAAGGTGAGGTCATACAATACATCCATGACTTCCATCTTGTCTCTCTCTCTCTCTCCCCTCCTCCCCTCACCTCTGCCTCCTCTACAACCATGTGAGTTAGCTTGGAAGCGAATTTTCCAACCCCTTCATATGAGTGCAGCCCCAGCCAACATGGGTATCCATGAAATAACCCTAGCCAGAACCACCTGGCTAAGCTGCTCCTGGATTTCTAACCTTCAGAACCATGTGAGATAATGAATTGTTGTTTTAAGTTGCTGGGTTTTGGGGTAATTTTTTGTGTAGCAATAGATAAATGCTATGGGGTTTTTAGCACTCTATCTTCTCTCCATTTGGTTAGGATTAAGAGGTGATTCTAAGAAAAAACTGAAAAATACAGTAGAAAGGAAGCTGCTTTGAAGCATGTGTTTATATAGCACTTCTGAAATAAACAAGAGATTAAAATATTGTCCATTTCAATCCCCTCTACAAAACCCAAAAGGCTTGGCATAACTCTTGGTCTGAAGGAACGTCTGTGATTGAAAATTTCCAGAGGTAGAAGTATCATCTATTTCCTTGTCTCCTGTGTTTTTTCACGTCTAGAAAACTTGATAATTAGGTTTTATTATTTGTTGTACCTATGCTATTACTCTCTTTGCATTTCACTGAAAAGAGGGCTACTTTCTTGGTGGTCAGGAAAACGTGTTTCCTGCCAGAGAGCCAGAGAACTCTGATACATGGGTCTGAAAAAATAACATAAAAGAAATACTATTTATCGAGCATCTACTATGAACTATAAATGTCACTGAACTTGTTACTGAAATGTCATGACCTAAACTTTATTACTCCTGCTTTACCAGTAAAGCTCTCAGAGGCTATGGAACTTGCTCAGTCAGCCAGCCCATAAAAGGCAGCGTTGGTATTTACTTCCTGGGGACACAGGTCACCTAAAAAGACTTATGTCACAGCTTTGCAATACAGAAGCTGAGAGAAGCCGATCTTAGGTGGATTTTCACGCATCTCTTTCTGACACTACTACTCTTCCATG